AGGAGATGGCAAAATGCACAAGCGGGTTCTGTGAGTATTTTTTAAGTGCTGTGGGCACGATAGTTTGGGTCCAGAAGGCCTTGAATGCCTAGTGAGAAGTTTAGGCTTTATTCTGCTAGTAAGGCTGAATGAATCTTTTGAGGGTTTGGTTGCTAATTTAATAGCAAAGTAAAATAAGAATTGTCATTTAGGAAGATGGCTCTCCAGCAGCTCTGAAGAATGGATTGAAGAGAGGAAAAGGAAAGCAGGGAGACTAATCTCAGTGGCTGCTAAAAAAAATTAAGGAAGATGTTGATGACCCGAAACCTAATTGGTGACTGTGCTTACAAAGAGTAAAGAACAAGTGTATTAATATCTAGAATTGATCAAACTTAGCAATGGATTAGATATTGGAGGCAAGAAAGGTGGAGGAATCAATGTCAGATTTGCAACCTGGCCTCGGAGTGGGGAAGCCAGAAGAAAAAGGATTGGGGAGCAAATTAAGCACATTTTAGACCTAATTGACCTAGGAGTTATGGCATATTCCCATTGAAAAGGTAGTCAGAAGCTTTGCTCTGGAAACTCCTTGGACACATTGACAATTTTGAGTAAAAATAAAAGTAACAGCGGATACTTAACAATGTACTTTGCATGTGCTAGGCACTGTTCATAATTCTTAATGTATTTATTAATCCTCCTTTCTATAAAATAAGTGTCATTCTCCATTTTACATAAATTAAGGAGAATGTAAGGTGTGATATAAATTACAGTTACAGTTTAAGGAAGCAGGAACAGGACTAGGAGATTGATTGGCTACAGACTGTGACTTTCTCTGTCTTACTTTTGGCACCTGCAGACTGTGTAACCCTGCTGTGCAGTGAGGCTCTTGTGAGAATAAATGAGGAAGGATGTTGAATTCTGTGTTCTTTGAGACAAAGAGAGCTGAATGAATTTGAGAGAGTATTCACGATAAGCAGCTGTGAAAGGATGTTGTTTCTGTTGGAATTTCATCAGTCTTAGTGAAGAAGCAGGTGAGGGGATATGGTGACATCTCTAGTTCTTTGTCACCTCAGTGGTGGTGACGTAAAGGGAAGAAGCCTGATTGGAGGTCACAGTCTCTGTGTTTCAGTTCTGGGGTTGCTCCTGACCCACTGTATCATTTTGAGCACCTCTCTCTTTGCATCAGTTAGGAAAGAGATTCAATGAATGGCTCTCATCCTTGACTTCCCTGTGGCAGGCATGGCATTTTACAGGTTCACCCACCTGGGTATACCCTCCTTTTGATAAGATGTCTGCGTTTGTAGGAAAGTAAAACAAATAATGCCACAGGCTTTTATGGGCTTGATAGCCATGGGCATTTGAATAATTAAATCAGCCACTTAAGATATTTCAAGGCATTTGACAAGGAAGCCAATATAGCTAACTTAATTTTTAAAATATATTAAGTTTTAAAATAAATTTGCATTTTGATTTTTATTCTCCTGGCTGTTTATAGATAATAAAGCAAGCAAATGTGTACCACTCAATTAAATAAATTCTTTTATTTTCAGAAACTTTAATGCAAAAAGTTTACAGATCTTTAATTTGAATTTATTTGCATCCCAGTTTGAGCCAGAGGGAAATCCTGTCTCTACAAAAAATGGAAACATTAGCTGGGCATGATGGTGCTACTTGGGAGGCTGAGGCAGGAGGATTGTTTGAGGCCAAGAGTCAGAGGCTGCAGTGAGCTATGACGATGTTACTGTATTCTACCCCAGAGGGACACAACAAGACCCTGACTCCAAAAAAGTAAATAAATAAAACAAGAACAAA